GCTGGACTAGCTGACAAGCTGTTTAGCTTCTCTAGATAAAAATATCTACTGTTGTAATCCCCAGTGATAAAATAGTTGTCATTATTCCATAAAAACAGATCAGTAGCAGCTGTCTGCTAAGGCTTGTCTGACATATCTTGGTGTGTCTTGGCATATCGTCACTTCACTGTGTTGAGAAGTCTATGTGCAATACAAATATTTGCTAACCATCACCTCTATTTGCCTATTAATGCCGGAACAAAACTTTGTATAGACAACAAAACAGGAATGATGATTTTCTCACCATGTAAAATGATGTTATGCATTATTCCCAATAGGTCTATGATGTCTTTTGTAGTTCAGCAAGAATGCCAGTTCAGCTGCGCCAGCCAACCCAGAGACAGCCAGACTCACAGGAAACAGACTTCAAATCAAAATATAAGAAACCTACAAGAATTAAAGCACAAATAATAAAAAAATCTGTGTTAAATGATTTTTGAAATGTAACGTTCAATATAGACTTTGGCTGTGAATTTGATTTTGCTGCTTGTGAATGAGGATAATCACTGATGCAGCTTAAAGGAAAGCCATGCATGGATGGATGGATGGAACTGAAGTCGGTCCACACTAGGGATGCACGATATATTGCTGTTGGCATCGGATATTGGCTATTATTTGTCATTCTTTAAACATTAATGTTTTTGAGCCCTTTATAAATAATGCACTAAAGGCAGGAGTCTGTCTATAACTATAAATATCAGTGTACTGTTGTACTCTTGTGTTCTCAACAATAGAAAAGCATTCAATAAATATATTTTTGAGCTCATTTTTGGAAAATATAAATCCTATTGAAAGAGTTCGGGTTGAGTAGCTGTAGGTCCATCAGCCCCTATCTTTTGAGCGTTTCCACCAACTTTTATCACTAAGTTACACCCTTGAACAGTATTAAGAGTTTGTAAAGGAACTAACAGGAAACATATAACCTCGCTAGCTTTGGCTGTAGTTACACACTATGTCCACTAGAGGGCAGTAGGATGCTTTCAGACGACTGGATGTCATCTTCTAATCTAATCTGATCTAATAAAGTCCTTCTTGATTTCATTTTCTTTCTATTATTAAAATATTCTACCCCCTTTAAAGTAAACTCTACATGTTGTCTGTAAGTGTGATTTTGACGTGGCTCCACAGGCCTGAAAACAGCTTGCAGAGATTCTTAGGGGAGCTAATGATGCTAACAGATATATTAGCAGCAGGTTGAGACATTGGAGGTTTTTTAAAAACTATTAAACAAATCTTTCTTCCGTCTCTTGTTTACAAATAAACCTGATTATCCAATTTGTAAATCCATAACCTGCAATTGTATTTTTTATTTTTTTGTTCAATGCATGAATTTGAGGCTGATCCACAGAGCACACACAGCCCACAGAGACTCAGAGCAGAAGCTAACAATGGCAACAGACTCTGGCAACAGGCTGAGACCCTGAGGTGGAGGATGTTTATAGCTCTAAGCACTTCTTCACCTCAAAAATTTAAATAAATAGAAAAAGCATCTTGTTGATCAATAAAAAAAACCTGTATCTTACGTTTAATGTAGGTTTTGATGTTTAACATTGGTTTTGATGTTAAGAAGATCTGTTTTTAATGTTTTTTTCTTTTTTTTTCTTTTTTTGCAAGCTTAATGCTTTTACCAAAGTTTTTTTCACAAATATATTTAAAATCATTATAATTATTCACACCATTATTCTGGAATTGTTATGAAATAATAATTATAACCATGTCAAGAATTGTTGCTAAAATTTTAAAGTACATAGAGTATTAGTACGAGTTAGTTTGTAAAGGAACAGGAAACATATAACCTTTCCAGCTTTGGTTGTAGTTACACACTATGTCCACCAGATGACAGTAGGACGTTTTCAGATGACTGGATGTCATCTCCTGATTGTCTAATAAAGTCCTTGTTGATTTCAATTTGTCGTTTTATTATTAAACTTTTCTACCCCTCTTTTAAGTAAACTCTGTATGTTCTCTGTAAAATACCTGAAAGTAGCTTAAAGAGACTCTATGCTATTAGCAGCAGGTTGAGACACTGGAGGCTGGTTTTAGCTCTTAAACAAATCTTTCTTCTGTCTCTTGTTTTACACATAAACCCCATTATCCACATCTGTAAATCCACAGACCAATGAGTAACAATGGTATCTGTCATGTAGTACACAAAGAGTTGCTATTTTTTCATGAATATAATTCATCACTATTTAGAAGATTTTAGGTTGTAATTATAATCTGTGACCACAGGAGGGCAGTATAGAAAGAAAAAAAAACAACTACTGGAATTAAAGTTGTGTAACTGTTTCTTTTATAATTCAAAAAGCTAATATGGGTTCAGAAACATAGAAACAAACATCATCCGGATCTGTAAATCCATTATAAATATCAGTGTACTGTGTTTCTCTTGTTTTCTCAACAATAGGAAAGCATTCAATAAATATATTTTTTAGCTCATTTTTGGAAAATATAAACCCTATTGAAAGAGTTCGGGTTGAGTAGCTGTAGGTCCATCAGCCCCTATCTTTTGAGCGTTTCCACCAACTTTTATCACTAAGTTACACCCTTGAACAGTATTAAGAGTTTGTAAAGGAACTAACAGGAAACATATAACCTCGCTAGCTTTGGCTGTAGTTACACACTATGTCCACTAGAGGGCAGTAGGATGCTTTCAGACGACTGGATGTCATCTTCTAATCTAATCTGATCTAATAAAGTCCTTCTTGATTTCATTTTCTTTCTATTATTAAAATATTCTACCCCCTTTAAAGTAAACTCTACATGTTGTCTGTAAGTGTGAGTTTGACGTGGCTCCACAGACCTGAAAACAGCTTGCAGAGATTCTTAAGGGAGCTAATGATGCTAACAGATATTAGCAGCAGGTTGAGACACTGGAGGCTTTTTCAAAAACTCTTAAACAAATCTTTCTTCCGTCTCTTGTTTGCAAATAAACCTGATTATCCGGATCTGTAAATCCACAGACCGACGATTAATGACAGCATATGTCTTGTAGTACACAAATAGTAGCTATTATTTCATGAATATAATACATCACTATTGAGAAGATTTTAGGGTGTAATTACAATCTGTGACCACAGGAGGGCAGTGTAGAGAATTGCAGACAAAAATTTTAGTATTTAAAATCTTGACCACAAAGCTAATATAGGTTTAAAAACATCATTAATAGTTGAACCAATAAAATCAATGTACATGTGTGACACGTTTAGTGTTTTTCTTAAAAGGAACTAAAAAGGAAGAAACATAAATTCAATCTCGCTGCTATTGTAGTTACACACCGCGTCCACCAGAGGGCAGTAGGACATTTTCAGATGACTGGATGTCATCTTCTGATTGTCTAATAAAGTCCTTGTTGATTTCAATTTGTCGTTTTATTATTAAACTATTCTACCCCTCTTTTAAGTAAACTCTGTATGTTCTCTGTAAAATACCTAAAAATAGCTTGAAGAGACTCTAAGGGGAGCTAACGATGCTAACAGGTATTAGCAACAGGTTGAGACACTGGAGGCTATTTTTAGCTCTTAAACAAATCTTTCTTCTGTCTCTTGTTTTACACATAAACTCCTTTATCCGCATCTGTAAATCCACAGACCGCTGAGTAACAATGGTATCTGTCATGTAGTACACAAAGAGTTGCTATTTTTTCATGAATATAATTTATCACTATTTAGAAGATTTTAGGTTGTAATTATAATCCAACTCTGACAAGTTTGTTTAAAAATCTTTACAGGTGTTTTACATTTTGAGGAAGTGAATGTTTTTAGCTCTTTGGAATCAATAAAGTACTTTTGAATTGAAATGATTGACAACCATTTATATATATATATATATATATATATATATATATATATATATATATATATATATATATATATATATATATATATATATATATATATATATATATATATATATATATATATATATATATATATATATATATATGATATGTGATTAATATGTGATAAGTAGACAAAAATATTTCTGTGAAGAATTAACTGGGTACATTACGCTTTTAAAATGTAATAAAACAAATTGACTTATAGGAAGTGCTGTTGTACAGTAGATTAAAAATGAGCTTGGTGTGGATAGTGGAGAAGGTTCCCAGTTGCATTGCCCCCCAGTTCATAATGATAATAGCAATGTTTTTCCACATGTGTTCCTGAAATTCTTTAATTTGGGGATTGAAGAGTTTGGTTTTAGATCCGTCATGATTGGTTCGTTCTGCAGATCTGGTAAAAATCAGATAAAGTTAAACTAAAATCTCCAAAATAACTAAATAAATTGGTACATAACAGTTGATCCATAGTTCAACATTGTGGCAAATATATCTTTAACAGATCCAAGTTGGGTTGGAAAGCTATTTCCTGTAATAAATACAATGATATTTTGAAATGTCTTTTTCTTTTACTTATTAAATTAACAGCTGATAAGGTTCGGTTTGGTAATCTCAAACATTTCAATTTAAAGGAATTTTCTTTTTTTTCTTTTTTTTTTTTTCGAAATTCTGGATGTTATGCAATTTTTGTTTGAGAACAATTGATCTAATTATAACACAAGTCATGATTAAAATAAACACCTAATCACTCCACTACAACTTTTGCAACGTTTCAGTTGAGAAAAATATCTGAATGTAAACCATTTCTTTTTATAAACCAGCAATATTAAATACTGATTAAATTTTCTATTTATTTGTTTAAAAACGTATATAAAATATTTTTTAATAAATCATAATAGCATCCGTGTAAAATGTAAACAAAGGGTTGTGATGAACCTCTAATGTTCTAAGGGAAATTCACCGTGAATGATGGAAAGCTAGTAAATCGTTTTCAACAGATGAATTTTTGATTTAAATAATTTTTGAATAATTTGTATATTTGCTTTATACATAAAAATGTTCTCTCATTAATAATGTTGACGTGACGCTTCAGGCTGTCGGTCGTAGTTTTCTGTCCCCTCTTCTTCCGGTCCGGCCCTTTTCTCCTTCCCCCGCTGCTATCTTTTCTGTTACCGGCGCACGTGTGAAATAAATTTTAATTTAATTCTTATTTACCCTTACAACGGCGGAACAAATGGCGTCAAGCTTCGAACAGATGAGGGCGAACGTGGGGAAACTCCTGCGAGGAATCGATAGGTACAAATAATCCGGAAATGGAGTCGATAAACCGGACAATGCTAACAGTAGCCTAGCTTGTTTTCAGATCATCTTTGGAGTATGAGCGTTAAATAAAAGGAGTTTACACTCTTAATCGAGAATAGCTGTCATCTTCACTTGTTTTAGTCTTGATTTGGACTGTTTTTAAAAGTAATGGCGTCTTCTATAATTATAATTTAAACCTGTCTGCTTCTGATGCTGGAAGCCTCAACTGAAGTTATTGATAAAGCTAAATTATTGTTTAACGGTTTCTGATTCACGTCAGATATTGACAGATTAAAATATGATTACTGGCGTATTGTCTGCAACACGTTAGCTGGAACTGAAATGTTTCATGTTAAGGGAAGATGTATGATGCGGCAAAGTTTTCCCATTAAGGTTGTTTTAGTGCTTTTATTTTTTGGAGGGGGTCGAGATTTGATGTTTGAGATTATCGTGCATTCAATATTAAGCTGGGTTAATAGATTATGCTCTTTTAAAATGTTGATTTTCTTTCATCCTGATTGTTACTCAGCTGGCACTGGGTGGTGGGAGCAGCAGTCCCACCTCCTCCAGCTCCACTTGGGAGCTTTTTGGAAGCTGTCTGATTCTCAGCAGCCATGATTACTGCCAGACCTGTATGATTAAAACAAAATAAGCTCAGAATTTACACACAATGATTTGTACTATGTCCTGATAAAAGATGAGAAGGAACCAAATGGAGAAATTGTTTTCTTCTTAGCAGCATATTGGAGGTAACAGCTGTCTTTCCTCTTATCAGGTACAACCCTGAGAACCTCGCCACGCTGGAGCGCTACGTGGAGACGCAAGCCCGGGAAAACGCTTATGACCTGGAGGCAAACCTGGCTGTGCTGAAACTGTAAGTAAAAGTAACACTGATTGGGTGTTAAAGACCTTTAAAAACAGTTATTAAGATTGTATATAACAAAATATCTTTAAAATATGTCCATATATCTGAATAGAACTCAAGAAACATTCTTCTGTTACCTGCTAAAACAACATGCCAGCTAAACTGTTTGTCGGTTCCGCCCACAGATACCAGTTCAATCCAGCTTACTTCCAGACTGCAGTGACTTCCCAGATTCTGCTGAAGGCTCTGACCAACCTGCCACACACAGACTTCACTCTCTGCAAGTGCATGATCGACCAGACACACGTATCCCTTTGGTGCTGCTTCGTCCATCATTGCTTCTGACTCAAAACAAAAAAGTTCCTCTTTTTATATATATATATATATATATATATGAATTCCCTGACATTTTCATAAAGGCTATTGTTTTAATCTAACATTTTCTTTTATCAGATGTGTTGTTCATGTAAATTTTGATCTGTGAGCAGAAGGTTCTTTCTTTCTGCGTTTATAAGCACACAGCTGTAAGCCGGTTTTGGGTTCTGTCTTGGGGTGAGGGGGCGTTTCCTTGACTACTGTGTCGCAGCAAGAGGAACGACCGATCAGACAGATCCTCTACCTGGGGAACCTGCTGGAGACCTGCCACTTCCAGAGCTTCTGGGTACGACTCTGAAACACAAACATGTTTTTGTTCGGCTCGTTCTAATCACAGCATTTCAGTCGGGTTAGGGTGTCGGATTTGATGCACAGAACACCTAGCATTATATGGAACTCATAGTCGATTCAATCACTGCAAAGGTTCCGGGTGCTCTGGCTTCATTACAAGCCCCAATCACCACTCGCCCACCACCGTACTTGACAGTTTTAATGCAGGGGTAAATTTCTCCACATAAAATTGAGTACTAGGATCTGCAAGGTCCTTAAAATCCTTGGAAAAAAAGTTCCACGGCCCTTGGAAGTTTTTGAAAATACTAATTTAAAGAAAAACAACATTGATAGTAATTGATTTTATTTTTTTTATTTTGCAGTAGATAATGACTGCTGCCAAGGTATGATATTTTTCTAGCCATTCAGCTCTGCTTCCTGCTGTTTCCTGTGAGCAGCATTGGCAGTAACTGCATTAGTAAGTCATTGAAAAAGTGATCTAACGCAGGGCGGTACTACAACTGCAGCATTTAGTGACTTTTTTTAGACAGCAGGGTGATGTTTATGCTGCAGGACAGCGAGGGAGCAGAAATGGAGACATACATGATGCTGATTGGCTAAAGGGCTGTAATTTGAGCGGGTGTTCGACATGCCTTAAACACAGGAGAGATGAAGGTGCAGAAACACTGATGCAATGACGAATTTCCTACAGTAAAGCACTCAAAGGCTAAAAGTTTCTGTGATTTGCTCAATATCTGCAGAAACAAAAGCTTTTTTTATTTCATAAATTTGAAGAAGCCCCTTAAATAATAATCTCAGCACTCCTTTAGTCAACGCGTTTTTAATTTCTCAGGGCTATAAGGATGTTACCTGCATGGTTTACATGTTTTCATTTAACATTTAATTAATACATTTCTAAATTGTCAACCACAATTGACATTGTAATTGAGATTTCAGTTTCAGTACAAACCGTTTATCACATTCTTCACATACATTGGGGTGGGGGGGCTGACAGGGAGAACGATCTACTGAGGACATGAATGCCGTAGAATGCTGCCTTTGGCGCGTTCTTACGGCTGCCAAGGGCCCCAAGCCGGGGGTCGTTCCTTATAGCGCTGCCTTATTCTCTGTTGAAAGAAAGGAGCCACATTGGGAAGGATACAGTGTCAAATATAAAAAAGAAAATCGGCACAAGAAAAGCACATGTAACACGGGACAGACATTTCAGCAGAAGGAAAACATCAGAGGCTGGAACCACATGAAAGTCAATGTCAGGTGACAAAATTCAGTCCTGCAGGGTGTTTTTTTTTTTTTGGAATAGTGTAACGCCTGTTTAATTCTACTGCAAAGTATATTTTGTTTTTTTTTATAAATTGCTTGAAAAGCCTTATTTTTCAAATTGATACCTATTTGTTAGCCAATTGAAGACTGTCATTGTGCAAAAATATACATTTTTAAAACATCTTATTTTTCTTTTACTATAAACATTATTACATCTACATAATAATATTGCAGCTCATTTATCAAACCACACACACCGAAATGGTGCAGATTAGATTTCAGTAACCTGTTTTCCACTGGAACCCCCAGGCTGTGTATCACCCGGGTGATTCGTCATATTCCGCTTCCTTTACTTTGAAAGCCATGCTAATTAATATACTGATGTGGCCGCCAAAAAACGTAAACACCACCACATTTTGGAGCGTGATCATGAATGCAGCGTAACTTGCTGTGTGTGCACGCAGGCGAGTATCTGTTCACCATCCCTGCTCCTGCGGCAAGATATACTAAGAACATGTGAGAACGGGCCAATTACTCCAACTGCAGTCCATATCCAAGCGCTCTTCTGGGCTAACCGCGTCCATATTTGACGATGCAGAGTCTTTACTAGCTTTGTCCACTCGGACAAACTGTATTGCAACATTTTCTTAAGAATCAAATCTCTTTTGGAGTCTCAACATATTATTGCCTATATTTGCTATTATTTTACATTTCATTGAAAATAATTCTAAGTCTTGAAAGAAAGTGCTGCGTTCTAAGATTGAGCTCTGCCATTTAACAAGGTGACAAGAAAAAGTCTCCGCTTATTTTAATTTTTTTATTAAGATCTGAGGACAGGAAGGACAAATGGGACATCTCAAAAATTACTTTCGTGGAGATTTTAGACAAATAAAACTGTTGTTTTACTTGTGGAAAATGAAGGGTTGTTGTTGACACAAAGTTAAAAGGATTGTAGCGTAATATGGCTAACTAACCGAGCTAAAAGAGGCTAACCTGTTAGCTACTGAGCACGGTACCTACACCGGCAGTCTGATCTGCCACGATTGTTATCCTTCAGTCTCTTCTAAGACCTGCTTCCTTTTTTTTTGAGCTTGCACCAGCTTTATGGTGTAAAGAATGAGTTTCGGCCAGTCTGGCTGCAATCGTGGCATAGATGCCATCATTGTGTGTCGCCTACTCTAACTAAATGTTTAGCAAAAATGCTTAAAAGAGCCTAGACCTCATTGTTCGTCCAACAGAGGGAGCTTATCCTCTCCTGCTGCATCATGCATTTACGAAATTACACAACGGTGAACTACACCACTGCAAAAACTGTGTGTGTGTTGGCAGTAATTACGGCTGCAACTAATGATTATTCTGCAAATTTATTAATCTGTTGATTATTTTTTCGATTAATAAGCTGATAGAAAAAGGTTCCTTAAAGAAGACTTTTTGCAAAATTCAACCAGGTGAAACCAAAACTTTCCACTTGAGGAGTTCTGGATAGAATATATTGAGAGATAAAATGTTTTTTTTTATTATACATTTTTAATGTTTAGGTTTTATATTTTGGTATAATTGCTGCTCTAATTGCGTTGCTCCGTCATCTAAAAGCATATTTTACCGTCTCTTAACTCCAGTTAATGATTAATTGATTACTAAATTAGTTGACAATTATTTTAATAGTCAATTAAACATGATTAATCTTATTAATTGTTTCAGCGCTAGCAGTAACAAACAAACCGCCTGATTAAAGATGTTGGGATGGGCAGACTTAACAAAAAGAAGACAGACCACCAATCATAGCTCCTTAAACTCACTGGAAGCCTTTTGTCTTCCTGACAGACGAGTCTAGAGGAGAACAGAGAGCTCATCGACGGCATCACTGGTTTCGAGGACTCCGTCCGGAAGTGTGAGTTTGACTTTCTGACTGAACGGTGATAAAAGCCACTTAGAGCTGGTTCAATAAATTCCTTTTTCTCCTCAGTCATTTGTCATGTTGTTGGCATCACCTACCAGACCATCGACAGGCAGCTGCTGGCTGAGATGCTGGGAGACCCGCTGGGTGAGAACAGAAGCTCTCAGCTTTGCTTCAGGGTTCAGGTGTTTGTGATGTTTTAGTTCGGTCAGAAAACAAACACGCTTCCTGTTTGTTCAGACACGCAGCTAAAGGGGTGGATGAATAAGTACGGCTGGACAGAGAACGAGGACGGACAGATCTTCATCTACAACCAGGAGGAGAGCATCAAGCCCAAAAACATCGTGGAGAAGATAGATTTTGAGAGTGAGGAATAGAGAACTTTGCCTCGGCTTTGTGTGTTTTAACCAAACGGATCAAACATGAACACCCCGATGGAAATCGGGGTGTTCGATTCATGCCATTAATCCTCTTCCTGTGTCTGTTTCTTTCCTAATAACTAAAACTACTCCATTCTGTCCAACATTTAGCTTAGTTTAATATTTTTTTAAAAGTTTTATCATTTAACATTTTAGTATTTGTAAAATTATCATTTGAAGGCAAAAAGGAGAAAAGTCAAACATTTCCAGGTTTGCTGAAGAAAATAACAATTACCAGGATGTTTCTAAATGATTGTTTCTATTTTATAATTTTATTTAATTTTTTTTGTTCCTAATTGTTTTCTTTCTCCCTGCAGGTGTTTCCAGCATCATGGCTACATCTCAGTGACGTTCGCAGACCCAACAACTGTTTTCATTATTGATAAAAGTTAAATAAAATGATGATAAAAATCAATTTCTGTTTCCAGTTCATTTTTAAAAAAGAGACTTTTTGAACATTCCTTTAGATCTACAGATCAGGAGTGAATTAGGTGATTTTAGGATGAGCATCTTTAATTTAATGTTATGATATTAGCAGTTTTCAACCATCTGAATTCAAAGAGCTTGTTGCCCGTTTCAGATAGTTTTTTCACCTCCAAGTAATTTAAAGTTTAACTCTCACTTTGACTCACTGAAATACTTTGAAAATCAAAATTTCAAGCAGAAAATCGTAACTTGCCCTTTTATTCCTTTTTACTTCAACTTCACTAAAGTTTGTTTTAATTCATAAATAAACCAGATTTAATGTATTTTCATAGTTGTATATAGTGAACATTCATATATTGTTTCAGCAATAAATACTTTGCTGTAAATTGAAGTTTATCAAACAAGAATGTGCAGAAAATTACCTTTTGTTTCCACTTATAAAAGTAGCTGTAAGATCCTCAGTGAAGCTCGTCAGGCTTCTGAGGTATTTATCTGAATTTTTGATCATTCTGATCAACAAACGTCTTTCAACTCAGAGAATCTCAGAAACTGATATAAAGTTCAGTTTATTGAATCTTTTTAGATGTAAAAGACACATTTTATTATTTTATTTATATCGAGATATTTTCAAACATTTGATTAACGTTGATTAGAGCGTCTGTAGCAGCTATAAAACTAGAGAAAATGGCGTTAACTTTTGGGCCTTAAGTATAATAAAGAGCCTATTCTTGAACCATTTTTCTTTATCAATATTTCAGTTATCTAGAATGATATACATGAAATGGTATTTATTTTTTTCTTACACATTGCTCAGAAAAATTAAAAGGTAATCAAATAAATGAACTGATTAATTGCTTTAAGGCTGCTTATCTTTTGAATATAGCACCTTAATGTTTAGAATCAATACAGAAAAAATAACACCAGTAGGTTGTTTTTCCCACGTTATTGAGAAACATGTATTCTGTCTGCATGTATAACTGTACTGACTGCAGTCATGTGATGATGTAAAGGATCTTTTATTGTGTTAAAAGCAATACCATAGAGTATTATTACTGAAATAAGGTACAGATATTTTTTTTACCTTGAGGTAAATCCAGCTAGAGGCTCTCAGAGAGGATTTTTACAGCTTGCCATCTCGACCAGAGCTTTTAGCTGCAGGTAAAGTTCATCTCATGGCGACTGCAGTGATCTTTTCAATTTATATTTCATTTTTTATTTTTATTTTCAAACAAAGAACATACAAGAACAACATAAAACACTAATTATACTCAAATACAACTTATAAGGGCTTTACAGTATATAGAGCAATTACACTCACCGGCCACTTTATTAGGTACACCTGTCCAACTGCTCGTTAACACTTAATTTCTAAGCAGCCAATCACATGGCGGCAACTCAGTGCATTTAGGCATGTAGACATGGTCAAGACAATCTCCTGCAGTTCAAACCGAGCATCAGTATGGGGAAGAAAGGTGATTTGAGTGACTTTGAACGTGGCATGATTGTTGGTGCCAGAAGGGCTGGTCTGAGTATTTCAGAAACTGCTGATCTACTGGGATTTTCACGCACAACCATCTCTAGGGTTTACAGAGAATGGTCCGAAAAAGAAAAAAACATCCAGTGAGCGGCAGTTCTGTGGGCGGAAATGCCTTGTTGATGCTAGAGGTCAAAGGAGAATGGCCAGACTGGTTCGAGCTGATAGAAGGGCAACAGTGACTCAAATAACCACCCGTTACAACCAAGGTGTGCAGAAGAGCATCTCTGAACGCACAGTACGTCGAACTTTGAGGCAGATGGGCTACAGCAGCAGAAGACCACACCGGGTGCCACTCCTTTCAGCTAAGAACAGGAAACTGAGGCTACAATTTGCACAAGCTCATCGAAATTGGACAATAGAAGATTGGAAAAACGTTGCCTGGTCTGATGAGTCTCGATTTCTGCTGCGACATTCGGATGGTAGGGTCAGAATTTGGCGTCTACAACATGAAAGCATGGATCCATCCTGCCTTGTATCAACGGTTCAGGCTGGTGGTTGTGGTGTCATGGTGTGGGGAATATTTTCATGGCACTCTTTGGGCCCCTTGGTACCAATTGAGCATCGTTGCAACGCCACAGCCTACCTGAGTATTGTTGCTGACCATGTCCATCCCTTTATGACCACAATGTACCCAACTTCTGATGGCTACTTTCAGCAGGATAATGCACCATGTCATTAAGCTGGAATCATCTCAGACTGGTTTCTTGAACATGACAATGAGTTCACTGTACTCAAATGGCCTCCACAGTCACCAGATCTCAATCCAATAGAGCATCTTTGGGATGTAGTGGAACGGGAGATTCGCATCATGGATGTGCAGGCGACAAATCTGCGGCAACTGTGTGATGCCATCATGTCAATATGGACCAAACTCCCTGAGGAATGCTTCCAGCACCTTGTTGAATCTATGCCACGAATAATTGAGGCAGTTCTGAAGGCAAAAGGGGGTCCAACCTGTTACTAGCATGGGGTACCTAATAAAGTGGCCGGTGAGTGTATTTTACAATGTTAAAATAAAATCTGTACTCGAGGGTTGCAATTCTTTAAGGGCAGTTATCATTTGAACGACTTTAGAATTTGAGCTAAATTTTAAGGGTTCAATGTTGATCATGAAAGAGGATAAAATCTGGAAATGTGTTTTTTTGTTGTAAATATTTATAGATTTGAATATGATATTTACCATTAATAATAAAATTAACAACATAAAAAAATCTGTTTTAACCAGATCACATTTCTCTGTCCCAAGCAAAACATCTTTATCCGTTAAAGTAATATTGCGATTTCTTTGTTAAAAAAAAATTGACATATGTCTCCAGAATATTTTGGTATATTTACAATCCCCAAAAAATATTAATAAGCTTTTCTTAATTTTTCTTTCAAAACCCCATTCATATCTTTTCATCAAAATACTTTAACAAGATAAACATTATGAAAAACAAAAAAAAATAAAACTTCTCTTACTTTATTGTTTATTAAATGTTTTTAAGGAGCAACCAATCCACTTCCAATTTATATTTGTTTAAAATCCTGGATCAGTAAAATATACAAGCTGGTGGAAAAAACATGTTGTAATAAAACATTTCTTAGCCTTTTATTGGTTGTTTTCTTACTTCTATAAGGAAAATCATAATAAATATAAATGGAGTGAATTTGACGTGTCGGTAAAGATGATGAAAGCTTTAATGACCCACTGCGGATTGCATCAAAGACAACAACATATCCAAGGGGTAACAGGAAATTGGACAAATAACAAAGTCAGAGTAAGACAATAAATGACCATTTGGATTTAGCAATTGGTTTTATAAGTAATCGTCCTCTATCAAACCATTTTCTGTGAAAGATTGTCTTATTTTTGTATTTAATGTCTTTTATTCCAGATATAATATTTTTGGGTGACCGCAGTGACTCTTCTTAGACCAAACCTCCACCTGACGTCATGCTGGGTTAATATATAACCAACTATATCTGACTTTTTTCCTGCTCTGAGTCGGTATAAAGGTCTAATCGCTGTCTTTGCTCTGGTTGATCCAGAGACGGATCAAAGATGGTGCAAAGACGGACCAGAATCCAACTCTGTGGATATTTCCTTGTTTTTATTTTGTGCAGAATAATGGATTTCAAATAATTGGATTTTAATTCAAACATGTTTAAATATCCCACGGGTGCTGTTTAGGGGTGTAGGCAACCAGGGGGCCCTCTCAGAGGTGGGGCCCCTGCTGGTTTGGGGCCCCAGGCGGTTGCTTCCTTTGCCTGCATGGTCCGCCCCTGCTGAGACCATAGAGGAGCCACACCTTAATAAAGCAGGTGGTTGTTCCCGGTGGGCAGGGCCTCCAGGTGTTTTTATCTACCTGCAGAGCGGTGCTCAGGTAAACACTGCCCTGCTTCAAGATGATCAAGTCCCTCAGCGTGTCCTCTGAAAACTCGCTGCCTCCGCCGGACAGCGATGACTTGGACTCGGTGTGTTCCGATGAGCTGATGGGCTCCCAGTCCCGCCACTGGCTGGCGGACCTGATGGCCTCAGACATGCCCTCAGACAGCGGGGAACTGGGCTCCGTGGGCCGGGACGGTCTCTACGTGGACTACACCTTCCCCGTGGGAGACCTCGAGATGAAGTCTGGAGTCAGGTGGAAGCGACCGAAGGTAAAACATCAAAATGTGGGAAAATAATCAGTCCACTGGTTCCCAAAGTTAGTGTCCCTGATCATCTGTGTGGGCTCTTTAAATCCACAACAGAAATTAAGCAATAAAGACTTTATCATAAGGAATAGATGAAACAATTGCCTAAAATGGACAAAAAAACAAACAAAAACATTTTTGTTGAAGCTTTAATGTTATTAGATTTAATTAATTAGATATGTAGAAATGTTTGTGGGCTGCGCAGTGGGTAGCACTGCTGTCTTGCAGCATTAAGGTTCTGTGTTTGATTCCCGGCCCGGGGTCTTTCTGCATGGAGTGTGCATGTTCTCCCTGAGCATGCCTGGGTTCTCTCTGGGTACTCGGGCTTCCTCCCACAGTCCAGAAACATGACTGTTAGGTGAATTGGCTTCTCTAAATTCTCCTTAGGTGTGAGTGTGTGTTTGTGAATGGTTTTTTGTCTCTGTGTTGCCCTGCGATGGACTGACGACCTGTCCAGGGTGGACCCCGCCTCTCGCCCGTTGACCGTCCCCACTTAGGATAAGCGTGTTTGAAAATGGATGGATGGATGAAATGTTTGTAGAATCAAGCAGTAGATTGGGTTATGATATTGGCATCATTTTATATGTCAGAAGGTGAGAAGTTTGGGAACTTTTGTCGGCTGAACATGAAGCTGGGGCTCCTGAGAGCATGGGCGGTGCTAGACAGGGGCCAACAGGGGCCAGTGCTCCTGTAGACCTGGTAATCTGTTATACCTAATTTCAGCGTGCAAGGGTTAAATCAAACCGGCCCTAAAACTTACTCTCCAGGCGAAGTTCCTACCTGTGACAGTAAATAACTCAAAGAGCTCAAGAAGTAATACAATGTTGATTACCTAATTGATGCTGCAGTATATATAAAGGCCTTCCAATCCATGCACATCGTTGTGACGGTTTTCTATTTCTTCAAACTGTAAAATCCTTGCAACAAACTAAATTATAATAAAACTAAAATGCTTTCTTTAAAGGAATAGTACACCCAAAACATGATTAGCCTTCATTTTCTACTCACCCCCATGCTGAACAACACTCTGGAGTACTTTTTTTATATCTCAAATGCATCTGTAGATCTGGGAGGCTTCTTGCTGTCTGCTGACATTCAAATAATGGAGGTCTACGGTGCCCGAGACAGAAAGGTCCATAAAAGTCGACAAAAAACGTGTCAATATTCCTCCATACTGCTCGTCCAATGTATTCCAAGTGTCCTGAGTTGGTAGCGTCCATAATTTACTCGAAACGAAGTCATTTAGAAAGTTTTTAGAGCATAAACAGTAGTGTATAGGATTTTCTAAAAGCACGCGCCTGCGAGTTCACGAGCCTACGGAAACTGCGGCAGACCAAACCAGATGAAAGTGCGCATTCAGCTCACTCATGCTCTTCCTCAACACTGAAGTCCTCAGACATTTTTCTTTCGTTGTTTCTTTCTTTGCACAGGTAAACAGCAAATTTCTTCTTCTACGCTTGCATTATCAAGAGCAGATGCTGAATGCGCACTTTCATCTGGCTTGGTCTGCCGCAGTTTCCGTAGACTCGTGAACTCGCAGGCGCGCGCTTTTAGGAAATCCTATCCACTACTGTTAATGCTCTAAAAACATTCTAAATGACTTCGTTTGGAGTAAATTCTGGACGCTACCCACTCAGGACACTTGGAATACATTGGACGAGCAGTATGGAGGAATATTGACACGTTTTTTGTGGACTTTTATGGACCTTTCTGCCTCGGGCGCCATAGACCTCCATTATTTGAATGTCAGCAGACAGCAAGAAGCCTCCCAGATCTCCAGATGCATTTGAGATATCAAAAAAGTACTCCAGAGTGTTGTTCAGCATGGGGGTGAGTAGAAAATGAAGGCTAATCATGTTTTGGGTGTACTATTCCTTTAAGCCAAACTACAATGTTCCTCTTATATTTGGCGAATCTATGTTAAAATATTTTGCAAAAATATGTTGCGTTGCATGATGAGGTTTTGCATCTAAAGGCTAACGTTTCCCGTCTTACATGCAATGTTGCCAGGTTGGGATTTTTCCCAATCTGGCAGTTTAGGATGGCCGTCTATGGGTAAAAAATGTTTTTCTTTAGATTTATGGCCTAAGAGATCAATAGACTTTAGTATAAGTGGGCCGGTGTAGATGGAAAAATGCCAGGGCCCAAAATCGTTCCCAGTCTGAGCCTGTTGTAGATCATGTCTTGCCCCCTTGTATGACCCCTGTGCTGAAGATATAATACTCAAAGAAATTCTAATGATGATATGCGCAGGAGCAGACAATGTTACTCACAGGTCCTTTGGATCTATTTCAGGATTTTTCTTTACAAATTCTGTTTCACTAATTATTTAATAACAATAAGGTGATAGCTTCAGTGGTATTAAGATAACATCACAGTTTTCATCTGCTAAATGTTTTTTATTTTTCAAAAAAAATTAAAATAAATACTCAAATTTTTACAGGTGAATTTATCAGTTTCTCTTGAGTTCTAATTCAGATTTGATATAAAAACAGTAATTTTCACTTAAATTAAGTTAAAAATATGTAAAAATCCTAAATTAGGAATGTATATTGACTTAATATGACATAAAATTTTAATCAAAGCTTATTGAATATACATTTCACTTCATGCAGGTATCTTAAAAATATTTGAATCCCTTGCCCTGTTTTTTATTTCATGTTTTTCTTTGCCCCCATGAAAACATTCTGGCCCCCTCCTGGCCCCCTGGTACATTTGGTCTAGAGCCGCCACTGCCTGAGAATAACTACTGGAGCTGAAAACCTAGTCTAAGGCCAAACATGCCCAGACTGGCTTTGTAACTCAACTTTTAGCCACATGGCCCAACTTCAAAGCAGTGAATGTTATCCCAGGTTCAATGGGAACAGGAGGTTGGCCTATTTTAGGGTCATAAAAGCCTGAGAACAGAAACAAGAGCTGATATGAAAAATGAGCTGTTAAGTTAAACCCAGTACATCTTCGGATGGTATAGTTTTTATGTTTTTTTATTAGTTTCCCTGCTGTCTTCTTTGTACAAGCCTCCTTTTGCTTTTTCGACATAAAGATTTTACTCTGTAGTGTTTCAGAGGGTTGGAGCACCAAAAGAGGCATATCTCCTTCCACCTCTAGACCTATTGATCTTCTAAATGCTCCATCAGAACGTTGATTCTGGGTCCAGTGAAAAATTCAAGTATTTATTGGGTCATATAATTAACAACCATGATGACACTGACACACCCAGGGAGATCTCAAGTATTTCCTTACACACTCATACAACGGCCCACAGCATCACACTTCCTCCACTGTACAAATTCAAGGCTATATATTCCAAATATTTCTCCCATGTGTCACACCAGACCAACCAGGGGTGTTTGTTCTCGAACGTCTCCATCTTAGTATCACCTGACCAAAGCTCACAGTTCCTGGTCCCTGGAGAGTTTATTTTACTTTATATCTTTGTAATAAGAGAAAACTAAAACTCTTTTTTCTTTTCCCCAAACAAATACATTTTGATTACACATTTTGCTTAAAGATGTAAAAAAATAAAAGAGCAAAAGAAAACACCATAACATGGCGTCTGTGAAGTCTCATGAAAATGATCTAAAGGAAATGTGAAGAAGTCTTTCATGAGCCACCGTTCTCCAAACAATGAATGTTTGAGGTGAAGGCCGCAGGATGAGCAAACCGGTCTGGTGAACATTGTGAAGAACATCCTGCTGTGTGTCTCCCTGCTCTGGCACACCTCCCGTCCATCCGTTCACTTGGATGACTTCCAGGCGTTAATTGCTTTCTTTTATAACGGACACCGGTATGCAGGGCGCTCATTGTTTGGTTGTCGTGTTGCTCTGTCTGAAAAATTTTTTTCTTTGCACTGCAACTTTGCAACAAGAAAGTGCTTTAAGTTTGAATCCTGGAGGTTTTCTAGCATAGAGTTTCCATTATGGCTCCTTCCACTTCCTCTGACGTGTTAGTTTACTGTGTTATTCTACATCCCCTTTAGGTGTAAATATAGGTGGTTTGTCTGTTCCACCAACAAAACACTGACTCGTTCAGGGAAGAACAGAAAATGCTGTTTGAATTAAAGCAGCGATATTACCACACCTTCATCCTGGTTATTTAGTCCTGTCATGTACATCAAGAACATGAACTTTACTCTAATTTCTGTGCAAAAGTCCAGAATCGTCCCTTGTTTCCTGGTCTAGACCTTTAAAAGGGACACTAACTTTGTTTTTAATAAATTTGTGTTTTGTCAACACAGGTCTATTAAATAAACACTCTGAATATATGTATTTTTATGACTAAATAATAATAATTTAAACATGAGCCTGCAGTACAGCTTCTTCGGAATTACTGAGCCATCTGCTAAGGTAAGATCTTTTGATTGAAGCAAGATTTTTTTGCAACACCACAGAATTGTTTTAAGTCCAAATGCAAAGCATGTTTTGTAACATGAAAAAAAAATGGAGGAAATTGTTTCCGACAAGCTCCAAAGGTCAATTTACTGATAATTTTCTTTCTCTTTTTTTCATCTGACTGCTCCAGGAACTCTGTATGTCACCAAAGTTCATAGTGGATGGAGCTTCAAGACTTGATATCTGCCAGGGAAAACTGAGTAAGTGAACTTCTGCCTGCAACTCTCACATCATACAGACGGCTTGGAGTTAAGACACAATCTGCTGATTTAATGTCCAGATTTTGGTATAAAAGAATGTTTCATAGTGATTATTATTGCAATACTTTATCAAGGTTAATTCCAATGGTTGAATGAGCTCCTCTGCAGATCAAATTCTGCGTAGACCCAGTGATCCATTGATGGTTCATTCTGAACCATTCAGATAATAACATCAGACACCTCTGGTCTAGATGTTGATTTGAGGTGAAGTTGGAGATTTAGGACTTTTTTGCCTCCACCATGCTTGGCAGTTGGTACACACTTTCTTAGATTTGAAAGCCACTTTTTGGCATTCTGTCAATTTTTCAAGAACGTCTCCTCTCACTCATGAGGTTTCCTTTAGAACAGATGAGTCTTGTCCGTACGTGGGCAGCTGCATATTTGATCTGAGCATTAAGGTGCTCATTTAGGGGAAAGAACACTCGCCCAGTGTTGTGCATTTTCAAAATAAATCATGTCGCTACATGCATGCTCGGTATGAGGGATTGCAGCAAAAACTCGATGCAAGCTTCTGTCAACTATTGCTTCAGGCTCGTTTTGCAACTCATTAACTCACTGCTGGTTTCCTGGCAGAAAACATTTTGCCAATCTGATTCTATTGGACTGGCTCAGTGAACATGACATGTAATAAAATGAAATGAATCGAATTACACCCCTACTTTATAATCATTATACCCCATTTGACAAGAAAAGGCTCAAATATTTGACGCTACATGCCGGTGAAGATTCTCAGTCATCCAAGTCATAGTCATTCCAAAAAAAGAAAATTAAAAACAATCCACTGGACTTTGTCTCCAAGGTTTCGCTTCCCATCCAGGAAGCTTTTTCAATTCAAAAATGAGATTTAACGCTACAGTTTTACCCACAATGGTTGTGTGTATACGTCCAGAGCTGTAAGTGCTAGAGCGTGAGTTATGATTAAGCAAAGGCTTTAACTGTGCTCAGAAATCGTCTTTAACACTTTGAAATACAAAAGAAGAATTATAATGAGTGACGACCCAGACAGACCGGTTTTCAACATACATATAAGGGGATTTTTAGGCCGAATGTTGCCTTAAATGTGAACACCAACTCTTTCAATCTGCCAGGGCAGGAAAGTATTTTATTTTGAAATGAAATATGAGCTAAACTGGTTAATGTTTATATTTAGATTGTAGAGTGTCAAAATAAAATCAATAGCAATTTTCTAAATAAGTGGTATTTATTTTTAGGTGTTATGAGACTAACATCTATCACAGTTTGCAGGTTGCATACTTTTGTCTTACACTGAAACTGTGTTACCAGATTCATTTTTATTAGGAACATGAATAACGACAGTTATTTTAGCCAAAGACGCTTGATACTTCACTTCTCATACTTGCATCGAACAGGTTGAAGTTAATTAAATAAGAACTATGCTCATTAAATATAAAGATTTTTTTTTTATGTCAGCCTCTGATGTCTTGGCCTGTCCTCTGCAGGTGACTGCTGGGTGCTCTCCGCTATAGCATCTCTGGCTATACACCCCAACCTGCTCAAGAAGGTTGTGCCTCTCACTCAGAGCTTCGAGAAGGACTACAATGGCAGCTTCACCTTCAGAGTATGTATTTATACTATAAGTACATTTATACGATCCAATCATGGGGTGTTTGCGTCTCAATGTGTCTAGTAGAAATCCTGATTACATAGTTTAAAGGTTTTTGATTTGTTTTAAATATTTCTACGTTCGCCCTGCAATATTATGGTGTCATTTTAATTGTAGTGTACTATGGATATTTTTTATGGGGTCCAGTAAATGCATCCTACAAAACAATAAGGCTGTTCCTGGAGGAATTATTTGCATAAATGTAAAACGAATGCAAAATGCAGTGGAAGGTATTTAAATGGCAAATATAATTTGCAGATAATTTTATTCTAATTTATTTTATGCTTTTAGAGTTTATTAAGGCTTAGAGGGGAAAACTTCAGATCCTTTGAAGCTGCGTTATGCCGAGCTCATGCTGCTGTGGTGATGGTGCAAGTAACCTAAATCATCAGTTTTTACAATCAACATTAAGCATGGTACAGTAAGGTTATGATTTTGCGTGAAGGCTGCTTGACCGACCCCCATGTTAAGCCTCTGAGATTTACAAGCCAAACAGGAAAAGTCAGGTGCCAGACTGGAGAAAGTTCTGGTGAAATTAATTAACGCATTAGATGTATAATCAACACAAAAACATATGCCAACTTGGCTGGTGTAAAGAAGATGGCAAAATGAAAACACAAGTAGGGAGGCAAAAGTCTGTTTATTGACACGGACAGTAAGCTTTGCCCTAAAAACTCCCAGAAAGATCATGTACCAATATTAACTTCTGTTGCCACGGCTGCCGTTTCTGCAGCCAGAACGATGAGTGGCCCTGTTCACTACACCAGTTTAAGTGTTTTTTTGTGCCAAGCCCGCTCTGGATCAGTACGGCTGCAGCTTTGTAGTCAGAGTGAGCTATCATCTGCAGCTACCATATAATATCTGTCTAAGGCCGGGGTGTTAAACTTAAGACTAAGTTTCACACATGTAGAAATCCAATTATAGTAACTACTGCATAGATACAATAAGTTGTTTGACATATTGACATAAAAAAGCTGAAAAATAAATAGTTTTTATAAATAAAACAAATATTCTGTCTGTCAAATGTGATGTCACAAGGCCTAGTTTTAGCCCCCTTTCTCTTTGCTCTTTGTTTTTGTTTTTATCTTCCATTCAAAAAGAAAAATGGAAACCCTAATTAACAGCTAACATGTCATAACTTAAAGGGGAATGCTGTGTTTTTTTATTGGGCCCTTGATTTTACGTTATTACATCATGTTCTACTCACCTATATGAGTTTTGTGTCATTTGGAGCAGTTCTGAAGATATTCCGTTATATACAAGTAACGTCTTCCTATGGGCAACGACTTGAAGGCACAAACTAAACTGTTCATAATTTATTCTTTATGGTACGCCAGCATGTAGGCGAATCACTGTCACCCAGACGTCCGCGGTTATAATTTTTATATTTATAAAAGTGTGTATGACGTCATCCGCACGTGCCGGCTACCATTCATTCATACTGTCCACTGAACTGCTGCTAGTTTTACTCTTCCAGGCATGTGAGTAAAACTAGCTGCCTATCTCTCTCATACCCTCTTTCTTGTCAGCCCACTATCAAAAAAACTAGGCACTAGTGCTGTAAAAATCCCCCAAAAAAGACAAATACTGAGGCACGTCTTTTATTTTTTGATCGCAAGCATGAACCCGTTATAGATTTACTGCACTGGCTTCCCAGGAATTTGAGGATTTTTTTTTTTTTGCTAGCTCTTCATGGCCCATTGTAGACTCTCCTTCTCCCTTAGATGAATTGATCAGCTGCTTCCCAGTGTGCTTTTAAAAAATATATAAAAGTTTAGAGGTTTGGCTTTGTGCTTTTGCTGAAGCACAAAGCCAAACCTCTAAACGTTATTTTAGGGTTAATTTTAGGGTTAAAATAATTTTAGGGTTTGAATCTACTATTGTGGTAAATCTGCCTGTAGAAATCATAAAGACTCATCATTAAGAGGTTTATTGTGTGATTTTTATATATGTCGCTGCCTGTGCATTATGGGATGAAATGCTAAACTGGTGGTACTACAGTTTACACCGGCGAGTGGGGTGGCCTCCCCTGCTAAACATTAGGCCTGCACATCAGACTTTTTATGGACCTATTCTTTGTTAAATCTCTTCCTATAACTCTATAAACAAATGTCACTGTATTAATTACATATTCAAGTGGGAATGCTTATGCATTCCCACTTATTGTTTTTCTGTTTATATTTATTATTATTCCGTAGGTTTTTCTTCGTTTAACTAGTTCAACAGTTTTCAGCCGACTTAAACAAATTTGGTATCAAAATGTTCAGCTTGTTCAGGAGAATTCTGCTATATCTTTTGGTAAAGATATTGTTTGTACTTTTCGTGATATTCAGCTTTTTCTGCGATTTTTGGCCCCATTGAAATGCATGTAAAACTTCAAAAATTCCACTAAAACTTCAGCTACTTTGCCCTTTAACTACTTCAGCATACTTTCAGCTAGAAACACCATTCAACTTTTAAAATGTTTCCGTGTCTTTCTGCTATTACTGTTTAACTCGGCTTTCAGCTAACTTTTACAGTTTTGCTTCAGTGAAGCTTCAAACTTTTAAACAATTTTTACAAATTTTCAAATTTATAATGGAAGTCTATGGACGGAAT